AGGCTAAGTTTTGCTCTTGTTGCCCAGGTTGGAAGTGCAATGGCATGATCTCGGCTGACCACAGCCTCCATCTCTTGGGTTCAAGTGATTCTCCTGCCTCAGCTTCCCGAGTAGCTGGGATTACAGGCCACCATGCCCAGATAATTTTGTATTTTTAGCAGAGATGGTGTTTCTCCACATTGGTCAGGCTGGTCTCGAACTCCTGACCTCAGGTGATCTGCCTGCCTCGGCCTCCCAAAGTGCTGGGATTACAGGCGTGAGCCACTGTACTTTGGGAGGCCGAGGCAGGCAGATCACCTGAGGTGAGCCACTGCACCCAGCCCCCATCTCTGTCTTTTTAAAACAGATGTGCTTTATTTCTTTTCTCTGCATTTTTTCTGTTTCACTTTCCCTGCCTGTTTTAGCCACAGCTTCAAGTTGAAAATTAAGTTGTTTCAAGTCCTCCAGAGATATTGACTAATAGATCCTCTGTCCCAGATCTAAATTTAGAGGGGAGAGAATTTAATTGGACCAGCTAAGATCAGGTGGCTACTTCTTGATCCAATCAGGAAAGACATTTCCAGGGGCAAGAATTTGATTGAGCTGGCTAAGATCAGGTGACTACTGCTTAGTCCAATCAGGAAAAACCAGGCTGGGAGTGGGTGGCCCTACACTTTATTGCTCAGTTCAGAGCAACCCTTGCACCTCCCTCACCTACACTCTTCCTCCTCCCCCAATGCCCCTTTAAACTCAGCAGTTACTGTCCCAAACCCCTTCTTCACTCAGGGTGATGCGCCCCTTCCTTCTTCCTGTTCATCTGTTGTGTATATCTTACCTTTTGCCCCCCATATAGACCGTATATGCTTGATGAGCTCAACAACTTTTATCCCTGGTAGACTTTTACTTTTTACCCCTCGTGCCTACCACTGTGCTGAGTACAGAGATCCTCTTCCAAAATGCTATTTTGACTTTTTTTTTTTTTTTGATATGTCAGATCACAGGGTATTTGGCACAAGTGTCAGCAATTTCCATTGTCTTTTCTCTGAACTAAATGATGTCTCAGCAGCAAGCTGGCATCAGAGGGGAGACTGCTGCGTGTGAGGAGATTGCTAATATGCAGCAATCGTTTGCAGTGAGAGCGTGAATAACAAAAAAAGTTTACATTTGGAACTAAATAGCTGTGTATAGGAATGGGGGGGACATGTAGCCCTACATCTCTGATTTTTCTACTTATCTACCACCACCATGACCCTGAACAAGAAATAGAGATTTGATTTTGATTTTCTTCAAGGATTATTGCCTTCTGCAATGGAAAATGACAACTCATCAAATGTATTGTTTCTGCCGTGAGCTACAAAGATGACCAAACAGCAGAGGTTGTAAATGTAGCTGTGTTGCTTAAAGTAATATTATTTCTTGGCCAGACTTGCTAAACTGAATATATCTTTTTTTTTTTTTTGAAAAAAAAAAAAAAAAAAAAAAAAAAAAAAAAAAAAAAAAAAAAAAAAAAAAAAAAAAAAAAAAAAAAAAAAAAAAGATAAAAAAAGAAAAGAGAAAAGAGAAAAAAGAAAGAAACAAAAGAGAGAGAGAGTCAGGGATGAGGACATCATACCTTGACAGTCTGTTGAGCACAATACAGAGGAAGCTCCTTCACTGAGGACCACATGAATTTGTCTAAATCTTGGTGAACTGAGCAGTGATTTAGGCATAATTTTTCTGGTCAAATACTTGTAATGTATATCAAAGCCAGATCTCCATAACAGATGCAGACTTTGTAAAAAATAAATCTGGGAATACACCACTTTGGAGACTTGCACAGAAAAACTAACTAAAGAGACAATTTGGCTGTTCTGGTCATGATATTGGTGTGTGATCTGAGCTGAGTTTCCTGTGGAACACCTAGTAATCTCCTTGAAGACACATCCCTTAAGAAACACAGGGTGGAAGTTACTGACCTAATCCCTGTTTTCCTCTGTGGGAAGGTCCTGAGAGGCATATAGGAAGGTGTGATTGTCTGGGTAATGCAGTGGTGCTGTTGAGAGGGGTGTTCTTTTACTTTTAGCAAGAAGCTGCTCTTCCCATCCTCAAAGGGTACTGCTAGAGTATCAGGCATACTTTGGGCATCCCTGAAAGAAATCTATAGCCCAAATCTGGGGGCAGGACTGGCTACAGAATTGTCAGAGTACCTTGTTCAAAAATCATTAAGAAAGCCAGGTGCAGTGGCTCACACTTTGTAATCCTAGCACTTTGGGAGGCCAAGGCAGGTGGATCACTTGAAGTCAGGAGCTTGAGACCAGCCTGGACAACATGGTGAAACCCCATCTCTACTAAAAATATAAAAATTAGCTGGGTGTTGTGGCAGGTGCCTGTAACCCCAGCTACTCAGGAGGCTGAGGCAGAATTGCTTGAACTCAGGAGGCAGAGGTTGCAGTGAGCCAAGAGCACATCACTACACTCCAGCCTGGGTGACAGAGGCAGACTCCATCTCAAAAAAAAAATAATAATAATAATAATAATAAAGAATTCAGGACAGCCACAGCAGAGCACAAAACCAAGCACAAGTCCTTTCGAACGTGGTACACTGCATGACTGCGCAGGTCATACCCCCAGGAAGCTGGCCTTACCTTGAGAGATGAGTGCCTTGGTGCTTAACTTCAGAATGCATCTGCAGCCTTAGGAAGATTTAAAGGAAATTAAGCAATGCAAACAAACCAAAAAAACTCAGCTCTTGGGATATAGGGAATGCCTGTATCCCATGCCAGCCTTTTAGCACCTGAGACATCAGAGTAATTGATTACTCATCTGCCTGATCGATTCAGGTCTGTTTGCCTCCCAGGAAGTGCCTGGAACTGTGACATGCAAGTCAGGGTGGAGGATGCGAAGGTTGAGATAATGCATTCATTCGGCCTGATCTCCTAGTTCTACTGCTCGCTTTCTCTGCCCTTCCACACGTATAATCTTCAATCTCCACACAGCCTGAGTGATCTTCTAAACCATATATCGGATCCTGCCTCCATTACCCTCCCCTGTCCCTGTGTCTCATTATCTTAGAATCAAATTGAGAATTCCCACTATGACTCCAAGATTGCGTGCGATCTGGTCTCTGCCTGAACAGGCTTCCAGTGCATACACTTCGTTCCACCCAGAGGACTTTGCACAGGCTGTTCCCTGCACCTGGAATGTCTTTCTTTCTCTTCATACCTACCCGCTGGGTTACCCCACCCCCAAACCCCCAGCTTTTCTTTTCCTTGAGATCAAAGTTTATGTACTTTGGACTCTCCACACATATATGCCCTCTTCACCTCTGATCTAGGTTACATACTCTTATTGAACCTCTAATTTGTCTTTCATGTCCATTCCCCTTCTAGATTGTAAGCACCATGAAGGCAGGAGCTGTGTCTGTTTTGTACATCATTCTATTCCCTGTGCCTAGTGTAGTGCCTGGAAGACAGTAGGTGCTCAATAGGTGTTTGGCAAAAGATAAATTGATGACACACAGTTCGTAGTTTACACTTAATTATAAACTATCTTTTAAATTTAATAATTTATTCACACAGATGTAATCAATACATTTTGTTTAATATGTATCTTTTGTATGTATTCTTTTTCTTTACAACCTTTTGTAATTTCTTGGACTTCATTAATTTCACCAATTAGTATAGAAACTTTGACATCAGCCAACATATTTTCTGCTTTTCTGAATCTCCCGCAGTGTTCAACCTGTTCAAGGAATATTATTGACTAATAGATTTTGGGCATTTTACACATTCAATCCCTGCCAATACAGGATACGTAGCTAAGAGAGAAATTCAATGATATGTTTTGTGTAGATTTAAGTTATTATAGATACTTACTGCTGATTGGTAAGGTAAGTCATAACAAAAGTTAGACATAATCTTACTTATGGGGTTTCTGCCTCAAATAAAAATTGAATTGTGATATAAATATCTCCTTTGTAGCCAGGCCAGGTGGCTCAGGCCTGTAATCCCAGCACTTTGGGAGGCAGAGGCAGGCAGATCACCTGAGGTTAGGAGTTCAAGACCAGCCTGGCCAAGGTGATGAAAACCCATCTATACTAAAAAAATAAAAGTTAGCTTGGCGTGGTGGCACGCAACTATAATCCAAGCTACTCGGGAGGCTGAGGCAGGAGAATCTCTTGAACCTGGGAGGCAGAGGCTGCAGTGAGCCAAATCACAACATTGTGCTCCAGCCTGGAGGACAGAGTAAGACTCTGTCTTAATTAATTAATTAAATAGGAAAACTTGAGGACAACACTGTTTTTTCGGGTAATTTTCACAACCGATGCTTTGACCGACAGGGTCTTTTCCCCCAGCCATGTTATTTTTACAGATTAATAGAGGACATTGGACATATTTTAACACAATTAATAAGTCTATTTTCCCACTTTCTTTAAAATGTCTTTTGCAGACAAGGAGCCCAAAACTGTCTCACAGTCCTCAACCACCCAGTCTGGGTGACCCGGTCGAGCATTTATCAGAGACATCTGCTGATTCTTTGGAAGCTATGTCTGAGGGGGACGCTCCGACCCCTTTTTCCAGGGGCAGCCGGACTCGCGCCAGCCTTCCAGTGGTGAGGTCAACAAACCAGACAAAAGAACGATCTCTGGGTAAGCTTTAGAAAGCAGTTTCTGATGCCCCTTTCTTACTGAATGTGTGTCTTGTTATACTTCTGAGCCTACACCCTTGATTTCAACATGAGTTTGCTCTTGATTTGCAAATACCCTAGTCCTGGGAAACTTCACTGGTTTAATATCAAGCATTTACTATCAAGGATTTGCCTGCTGGGTAATTAAGTCAAGGGCAAGCTGGCTTTGAGGCTGGGCACATTCAGAAGTGGTTGGGATTAGCAATTCAAGACAAGAGGCTGGTGGTATTTTGCCCTGTATTCCTCCTGCTATACAGCAGGAGTCCCCAGTCCCTAGGCCATGGACCCGTACCAGTCGGTGGCCTGTTAGGAACTAGACTGCACAGGAGGCGGTGAGCGGAGGGTGAGCGAGCATTACCGCCTCAGCTCTGCCTCCTGTCAGATCAGCTGTGGCATCAGCTTCTCAGAGGAGCTGAACTCTATCGTGAACTGCACGTGTGACGGATCTAGGTTGCATGCTCCTTATGAGAATCTAACTAATGCCTGATAATTTGAGGTGGAAGTTTCATCCTGAAGCCATCCCCCTATCTGCCATCTGTGGAAAAATTGTCTTTCACAAAACCCATCCCTGGTGCCAAAGAAGTTGGGGACCACTGCTCTATAGGAAATAGCAAAGAACTGGCTGCAGAGTGACCCTCTTCTCACCTTGCAAACCTCCTCTCCAATCCCAGAAGCCAGGGCATTTGGCATTTCTACCCAGTGATGTGGGTTTCCACCAGCCCCGCTCTACCTGTCTGGCAGTCCAGTGGAGGAGATTAAGTGGCACCAGGACAAAAAGGGACAATGTGGCCAACACCTCCATAACTGTTCATAAGAGCCGCAAACCCGAGGCTGTTCCCACTACCACATGAAAGGATAGAGGGCTTGGTGTGTGGAGTGCATGGCTTTTCTGAAAGGCAGAAGGATTCTTTTTATGCTTTTTCCATGTATCATTCCCCTTTTTTTGTACTGAAATTTCACTTTCTACCTTGCTTTACTTTTTAAAAAAATTTTTTTTTGGCCCTTTAATGAAATGGACAAGTCATGAGGATTTAGACCTCTGTGTCAACTGGGCAGATATTGCTTATGCTTCACTGCCATGTTAAGGTTCTGATTTGGGTACTTGTGTTTGTAGACAGATGGGCTTGGGGCTAAGAGGGGACAGGAAAAGGGTCAACATGCAAAAGCCTTCAGAGTCTGGCATGTGCAAGAGACAGCTGAACTCTGCCATGTAAAACTGAGCGAATGCCTTGTTGGAAAAAGAAAGAAGATAGTAGTGAGAGAAGGGACCCTGATTTTATTTCCTTCACTGCAGAAAATGACCCAAGCAGACTGGATTTAGACATTGACCTAGCTGTCCTCAACAAAAACCACAACTTTGTTATTATTTGTATTATCAATATTAATAGCTAACATTAAGTTTTGTGTCCTTGACCTTAGGTTAGTAATCTAGAATCCTCATTTTATAAATGAGAGAAGACCAGAGACAATGTGCTTTTTGTTGATGTGTGTGTTTGCTTGTTTGAGTTCACACAGTTAATTAAATGGCAGCAGTGGGAAGTCCAGGGCTCCACTTCCCATTAACATCATCTTACAAATGAAGGCACAAGGACACGCAGGGAAGGGACACACCAAGGAGCGTTGTGGGCCAAGGTAGCGTCAAGATGGCACAGCCTTCCACACCATCACTAGGCTGGGGCTTTCTATCTGGATTCAAGAAATTTGTGGTTTCTTTTCTTTTTGAGACAGAGCTTTGCTCTGTCACCCAGGCTGGAGTGCAGTGGCATGATCACGACTTACTACAGCCTGGACTTCCCAGGTTCAAGGGATCCTCCCACCTCAGCCTTCCAAGTAGATGGGATTACAGGCATGCACCCCAATGCTTAACTAATTTTTTATTTTTTGTAGAGTTGGGCTCTCACTATGTTGCCCAGGCTGGTCTGGAACTCCTAGACTCAAGTAATCCTCTCACCTTGACCTCACAAAATGCTGGGATTATAGGCATGAGACAGCATGCCTGGCCTGAAACTTGTGTTTCTTAATTCCACTCACACTGAGTCAGGAGCCAGACAAGGAGTGGGATTTCTCCTTTGTGCTTTGGAGGAAATGAGTGAAGCTCAGGTCTCTGTAAAGATAGCCTCTGCCCTGCAAACCAAAACAAAGATAAGAATAAATCCCTATCCACCTTTCCCCATACCTGGGAAACTTTGATTCTGTTGGATAATGGATCTTTTGTCTTGAAGGCAGGAATTTCTTTTGCAGCCAAGAACGGTTGGCAGTGCAGGTTGAAACTTGCTGGGTTCAGGAACCAAGCCTTGGGGCAGAGAGGCTGCAGGAACTGGGGCCGGCTTGCCCAAAGAATGGCTGGGGGTGGTGGTGTTTTCACACAGGGGTGGCCGTCTTCTGCAAATCGCCCCGTTTTACTTGGCATCCTTTACTGTAGAGTGCCCGTGTGCCGTTACAGCAGGCTTGGAAATGCATCTGACCTGTTTATTCTGCCCTCCCTGTGAGGGGCGTTGGGGCCTGTAATTTTTCACTACTCCTGGATAGAAACAAAGGAACACGGTAGGAGGAGAGGAGAGAAATGAGAAGTTTCTTGCCAAAGCGAAGGGAAGCTCTGGTTCCAGAAAATGAGGCTGGCACTGGGCCAGCTGGGCTGCTGTTGCCCTTGACCGCCTCTTTGTGGCCGATTGGGGAATGTCCCTCCAGCCGCACCTGGCCCTGATGGCGTAATCCAGTTGAGCCTGGATGGGAAATAAAGAGGAAAATGTGAGTCACAGCAAGTGCAAATACAGTCTCCCTCCCAGGGGCTTTGCTCAGCGTTAGTCTTTGGGAAACTCCCGCCTGCCTGGCCTTATTTAACACACAGACGCACAGGCTCCTGGGATAAACAGTGTTCCCCAGAGATCCCCGGCCATGTGCAGGGGTGTCTCCCAGCACCTGGGTGGCCCAGAAGCACAGCTGCAACTCCATGGGGACTTTGAGCTGTGACCCCCTGAAAACTTGCTGTTGATGCCATCTGGAAGCCCTGGGTGTCTTTTGGGATCTGTACATTGTCACTGTATCTCAATCCACAGAGCTTTAAGTTCCCATGAAGCCCTGTTGATCTTGCCTTTATTTAAATTGTTGATGGTTTGTTCATCATGGGTTTTTTTTTTATCATTTTATTTTTTAAGAGCAAGTTTTCAGGTTTGTAACAAGATTGAGCAGAAAGTACAGACGGTTCGCACACACCTTGGCCTCCACGCACACACGGCCTCCCTCATGATGAGCATCCTCCACTAGAGTGGTACCCATGTTACGATCAATGAAATGAGACCAACACATTGATATCACCCAGAGTCCATAGTTCACACTGGGGTTCACCCTTGGTGTTGTACTTTCTATCGATTTGGACAAAGGTCAGGACATGTAGCCACCGTTATGGTATTAGACAGAATGGCTTCACTTGCCCTAAAAATCCTCTGTGCTCAGCCTATTCATCTCTTCCTCCTGGCTAACCACTCCCAGCCACTCATCTTTTCACTGTCTCCATAGTTTTGCCTTTTACAGAATGTCTTATAGTTGGAATCCCACAGCATGTAGCCTTTTCAGATTGACTTCTTTCACTTAATAATATCCATTTACATTTTCTCTGTATCTTTTTATGATTGGATAGCTCATTTCTTTTTCACATCTCAATAATCTGAGGGTTTTGTTGTTGTTGTTTTATTGCATTGCGTTGTATTGTGTTTTCAGACAGTCTCATTCTGTCACCCAGGCTGGAGCACAGTGATGCAGTCACAACTCACTACAGCCTCAATTTCAAGCATAGGTGATTCTCCCACCTCAGCTTCCTGAATAGCTGGGACTACAGACAAGCACCACCATGCCTGGCTAATTTTTTGTACCTACAGGGTTTGGTCTTATGCCCAGGTTAGTCTCGAACTCCTGGGCTCAAGTAGTCTGCCCACCTCAGCCTCCCAAAGTGCTGGAATTACAGGTGTGAGCTACTACGTCCAGCCTGAATAATATTCTATAGTCTGGATTTGCTACAGTTTATTTGTCTATTCACCTTCTGAAAGATACTGTAGTTGCTTCCAAGTCTTGGCAGTTATAAATAATGCTCTGTAAACATTCACATACAGGTATTTGTGTGACCATATGTTGCAGCTCCTCTGGGAAGATACCAAGGAACATGATTGCTAGATTACATGGGAAGTCTCTGTTTTGTTTTGTCATGGGTTATTGTATTCATTTTGATTTTTTAAAAATATTGCACAAAAACTTTATCATGACCGCTGAGCTTTTGGGAGACCCTCAAATTTTGCACTGAAAGGATGTGGCTTGCTTACCTCACCCTAGTGCCAGCCCCTCATGTCATCCCGGGAGCGTCAGATACTGTTACTGTCAGCCCCCAGCCACAGAGCCTGGAGTAAGGAGAGTGAGGAAAGCCCAGCTCCCCTGGCCTGCACTCTACATGGTGCCACCATTTGTCACTGGAGTCCTTCCCCAGCTCAGGCAGCACAGAAAGGGGAGGCCTGGGTACCTTGAGGGTGGAGCCAGGACAAGATGGAATCCTCACACCACTCCGGCTCCTGAATTGAGAGGAAACCTTCCCTCACTTCAGGCTGCCTGTGCCTGGAGATAAACCTGCCTGCCTCTTATTTCCTCCACTTGAATAGTTCCTCATTTCTGTTGCCTCAGTGTATTTGGAAACTGAGAGAAATGCAGGAAGGCTGAGCATGGTGCATTTCACAGACACAGTTAGCAGACATGCAAGAGAGAGAATGGGGAACAGTAGCTGTGTTTTGGACCATCTTATACATCATTGGTGTCTGTGTGATGGTCTCTCTTGGGTGCTGTGCTGGATGCAAGGTGTCTGTTTCTCATTTGGGAGAAGCATTTTGACTTCAGGCAGAGCCAATGACAGCAACACACAAATCCTTTCTGAGGCTCAGAGCCTAGAGAGTTACAAAGCAGAAAGGTAAAGGAAGAAATTTG